AGGGAGCCGTTTGGGCTCCCCGGTGGCGGGAGGAGAAGGGGGGGGCGAGGCTGTGACATACATGGCCCTGCCCCCTAGCTGTCACTGCCCCACCCCCCTCCCTCGTGGCGGCCTGGCTGAGCAGGCAGCACTCAGCTGAGTGCCACAGTGGGAGAGGAAGGGGAAAGGGGGCGGGGAGAGACGAAGGGGAGAGAGAGGCAGGAGGAGGAGAAGAAAAAGAAAGAGATGGAGAGAGAGGCAGAAGGCGAGAGAGGCAGGAGGCGGAGGAGAGCTGAGAGGGGGGGGGAGGCAGTAGGAGGAGGAGAGAGAGAGAGAGATGGAGCGAGAGACTAGAGGTTCAGGAGAGAAGACCAACATGGAGGAGAGACCTGAAAATCCCGTGTTATGACGGGCTAATTGGCTAGTTATGAATAACACACTAATGATATTAAAGGCAAACCAAACAATCTTATGTGAAGAAGCCTCCAAGATAAGATGTCTCGCTGTTTTAAAACTTTCTTTCTTTCTCTTTCTTTCTTTCTATATTTGCTAAGATTGAGGGTCCCAATTCTGCAGACATATTTTGAGAATTCCCACACCTTGCTATGTATTTTCCATGATCCCATTAGCTTGATAAAATTGGTACTCATTAGATTCTATTGTATTAATGTAAAATTACCCTTTGTATTTATTTAAATCAGTGGTCCCCAAATTTTTATGTTGCCACCTCCCATGTAATTTATCCACAACTCTGTCCCCAGGGCGTCAGCTAGCAGCAGAGCCACAGCTGGGGCCCAGAGCTAGGAGTAATAGCCACAATCAGGGCATTTGCTGAGGGTGGGGCTGAGTCTGGAGAGAAGCTGGGTGAAGCCCCTTCCCCCACTTCCCCGAGGCTAGTCTGGGCAATTAGCAGGTTTATGTTGCCACCTCCCATGTAATTTATCCACAACTCTGTCCCCAGGGCGTCAGCTAGCAGCAGAGCCACAGCTGGGGCCCAGAGCTAGGAGTAATAGCCACAATCAGGGCATTTGCTGAGGGTGGGGCTGAGTCTGGAGAGAAGCTGGGTGAAGCCCCTTCCCCCACTTCCCCGAGGCTAGTCTGGGCAATTAGCAGGAACCGAGATGGGACAAACATTTGGGAGCAGCGCTGGGGCTGGAAGTAGGAGCTGCAGTCAATCGCAAAGCCAGGCCTCTCCTGGGGCCAAGCCACCCCCCCCCCCCCCCCCCGCCCCCCCCCA